TGTGTGTGACACGGATCCTGTCCCTGTGTGTGACACGGATCCTGTCCCTTTGGGTTATTCCTGTGACATTTCTGTGCTTTTCCCCCGCAGACCCAGCAGGATGCCGGCCCCCGTGGCTCTCCTCAGCTCCCCGGCGCTGGTAGGTGCTTCCCTGGGAATTCCCACAGGAATTTGGGATTTGTGGCACTGCTGAGCTGGGATCCCGGGGTTTTGAGCCTGCTTTAGGCAAGAAGGGAACAAGGTGACCTCTGGTGACACCATGTGAGTGGCTGGCACTCGGCTGCAGGCCCAGCGCTGCTCCCAGCAGGAATTCCCAGATTTCCACGGGATTTCCATGGGAATCCCTTTCTTCCCAGGAGGAGAACACGTGGAAAAGTGGGAGAAGGGGAATTTCTGGGGCTGTGCTCAGCCCGGGGGGTGTGGGGTTGATCCAGGGGGCTGCAATAGGAGCCCCCTGCGTTGACAGCGCTCTGGGTTCCGGGTTTTGTGTCAGTTTGGGATGTTTTAGGGGCATTCCAGCACTCCACAAAAACTCTGGGGTTCCTGAGGGTTGGGAACGCTGATCTCTGCTCCCAGGGGGTCCCTGCAGGGCTTTGGGCTGGGTTTGGGGACCCCTGCAGGGGTTTGGGCTGGGTTTAGGGGTGCAGGGGGCTTTGGGCTGGGTTTGGGGGTGCAGGGGGCTTTGGGCTGGGTTTGGGGGTGCAGGGGGCTTTGGGCTGGGTTTGGGGGTGCAGAGAGGTTTGGGCTGGGTTTGGGGGTGCAGGGGTTTGGGCTGGGTTTTGGAAACAGGCTCTCTGTGCTGGGGATGTTTGGGCAGGGCTGACCCGCTGTCCCTGTCCCCTGTCCCTGTCCCTGTCCCATCCCTGTCCTGTCCCTGCAGCTCCGCTGCTGCTCCCGGGCTCTGGCCAGGCCGGTGTCCGTGGCTGTGCTCAGCAGGCCTGAGGAGAGCGCCCAGGTGAGACGGGTGGGCTTGGGTTCCGTCCCCATCCTGATCCCTTATCCCCATCCCCATCCTGCTCCTTCGTCCCCGTCCTCATCCTCCTTCATCCCCGTCCTGCTCCTTCATCCTTCATCTCCATCCTCCTGCTGCTGATCAGGACCAATGCCCCCTTGCCATGCTGGGTGCCAGCCCTGAGGTGTTCCTGCCCTGTCCCTGGCTGTCCCTGGCTGTCCCTGTGTCCCTGAGCTGTCCCTGCCCTGTCCCTGTCCCCAGGTGTCCCTGAGCTCTTCCTGTCCCCAGGTGTCCCTGGCTGTCCCCGTGTCCCTGTCCCTGAGTTCTCCCTCTCCCCGTGTCCCTGGCTGTCCCTGTCCCCAGGTGTCCCTGATCTGTCCCTGTCCCTGGCTGTCCCTGTGTCCCTGAGCTCTCCCTGTCCTCTGTCCCTGACTGTCACTGTTCCCTGTCCGTCGCTGTCCCTGTCCCTGGCTGTCCCTGGCTGTCCCTGACTGTCCCTGTCCCTGTCCCTGACTGTCCCTGTCCCCAGCTGTCCCTGACTGTCCCCATGTCCCTGATCTCTCCCTGTCCGTGGCTGTCCCTGCCTGTCCCTGTCCCTGTCCCTGACTGTCGCTGTCCCCAGCTGTCCCTGTCCCTGTCCCTGACTGTCGCTGTCCCCAGCTGTCCCTGACTGTCCCCATGTCCCTGATCTCTCCCTGTCCCTGACTGTCCCTGTCCCTGTCCCTGTCCCTGACTGTTGCTGTCCCCAGCTGTCCCTGGCTGTCCCTGACTGTCCCTGTCCCCTGTCCCTGATCTCTCCGTGTCCCTGTCCCTGGCTGTCCCTGGCTGTCCCTGTCCCTGTCCCTGATCTCTCCCTGTCCCTGGCTGTCCCTGCCTGTCCCTGTCCCTGTCCCTGACTGTCGCTGTCCCCAGCTATCCCTGGCTGTCCCTGACTGTCCCTGTCCCCTGTCCCTGATCTCTCCCTGTCCCTGGCTGTCCCTGTCCCTGTCCCTGACTGTCGCTGTCCCCAGCTGTCCCTGGCTGTCCCTGGCTGTCACTGTCCCCTGTCCCTGACTGTCGCTGTCCCCAGCTGTCCCTGGCTGTCCCTGGCTGTCCCTGTCCCTGTCCCTGACTGTCGCTGTCCCTGGCTGTCCCTGTCCCTGTCCCTGACTGTCGCTGTCCCCAGCTGTCCCTGCCGGTGCTGTCCCGGCCGTTCCGGAGCACGGCGCTGTCCCGGGACATCGACACGGCCGCCAAGTTCATCGGGGCCGGCGCCGCCACCGTGGGCGTGGCGGGCTCGGGGGCGGGGATCGGCACCGTCTTCGGGAGCCTCATCATCGGCTACGCCAGGTGGGCGCTGCGGGGACCCGCTGCTGGGACCCAAGGTGTGGGACCCACTGCTGGGACCCACTGCTGGGACCC